CACTATTGTCTGTGTCCATGGGTTATGCATATATGCATATAAGTTCTTAGGTTAACCTCTCCCCACCCACCCCTGCCTTCCCTCTGAAATTCACCAGTCTGAGGAAGACAGATTTTATAAAGTTGATAGAAACTTCCAGTCATGTTTTTTGTGTTATGAAATTCTAAAAGGAAAGGACAATCTAGGAAGAATGGCAGGCTGCCAAAAATGAAGCTGATAATGCAACCTAAATTACCAGGAAGGGGGGGAAAGGCGCCTATAGAGGGACCTGCAGTGTGTGTTTCCACAGGGAGCTGGCAGAGGCTCAGGTAGAAGCATCTCAGAGCCACTGATGGAAGGAATCACAAGTGATGCGATTTTGAGAGCTCGGGTAGCTGAAATGACTTTAAAAGCTATCGTGGGTTTTTTTCCTTCTCCCATGCTATATTTTAAACTCCATTAGGATTAGGAACCAAGTCTCTTCTGTTGGCCTCTGTGTACCAAGTGCTTAGCACAATAAATATTGTTGAATGGAAGGTAGAATTTAGTAGAAAACTATGTAAAGGTCTACCTGTGTATATTAAAATCAGCTGTTCAAGTATAGGAGGGGCTTTAGCTGCCTTAATAAAAACACAGTTACACAATTACAATTGATTGCAGTTGCCATATCAGTAGTGTGATGTGGCAGCAACGAAAAATAACCCCTTCCTCGGTTGAATTCATAGATCTGGAGTGTTTAATTTTTATTTTTTTTAATATATCTTTATTGATTTCAGAGAGAGGAAGAGAGAGAGATAGAAACATCAATGACGAGAGAGTCATTGATCGGCTGCAGCCCACAACCCGGGCATGTGCCCTGACGGGGAATCGAACCCCGATCTCCTGGATCCTAGGTCGATGCTCAACTGCTGAGCCACGCCCGGCCGGGCAATCTGTAGTTTTATTAAATGGAAATTGTTACTGCTAATCTGGTTCTGTCCCAAGCTGGTAGGGTTCCACCCAGAATGCAGAGTTTCACCTTCACCAGCACACTTAGAAGAGGCCACAGAGCCAATGGGGAGGAGAGTCCAAATCATGTCATAGCAGCAAGTTGAGGGAAATAGGCACTTCCCTGGAAATGTCAATGCTCTACAAGGATGTGCAGAAAAGGATTTCACCTTATAATCCATGTCTTCAGAAAGCAGAACAGGAACCAGTGAGCAGAAATTGCAGAGACAGATGTTGCCTTCTTTTAAGGAAATACTTTTTTAGAATGAAACAATCTATCTTGGGAGGCAGTAAGGGTCTTACCACCAGAGATTGTCCAGACTACCATGGATTGGGTACTTTGTAGAAGAGATTCGCAGTGGTTCTCAATCCTGGCTGCATATTAGAATCCCCTTGAGGGCTTTATAAGGATACTAATGCCTGGCTCCGTCCCCAGATCTGATTTAATTGGTCTAGAATGGGCTTCAGGCAATGGCTTCCTTTTAAAGTTCCTCACGGGATTCTAATGTGCATGTAGAATTGAACCCTTGAGCTAGATAGCTGAACCACTATCTAAGATTTATTTAGAATTTTCTATGTACCAGGCAGTGTGTTAAGCACGTTTATGATATTTCATTTACATAATCCTTTTAGTAACCATGCAAGGTAGGTATTACAAAAGAGGTCATGAAAGATCAAGAGGTTATGATCTTTGCCCATGAGGTTATGATCTTTGCCCATGACCGCACAGATGTTAAGTGGCAGTCAGTACCCAAGTTGGGACTCAGTTCTGTCTAGCTTTTAGGAGCCCATGAGCCTTTTCACCAGGCCTCTCTCCTCCTAATCACATATGATCAGCATTTAGTTCTGTCAGCAGTGTTTTGACATGATTCCTTTCACAATATCCACAATTCTAAGAAGAGCTTATGCCACTTAGCTTTACTTCTTTGGAAAAGGTATTAATCTTTTTATTTGCTGTGTCCATTACAGCAAGTAATAAATATAGTTTACAGAATCACAAATCATTCGTCAGAATGGTCAGCGCGTCCCCCAGAGCATATCTTTTCCAACTTACTTCTAGGCCTGATAACCTAGTCAAGATGTTTCTAGAAAGCTGTTAGTACAAAACACATATCCCGAAACCATTTGCCTCAGCTCTAATCTGCAAATAAAATAAATAATAGTTGGACAAGATTGCGAATAAAGCTTTCTGGTTTTGCTTTATTTGCTATCTTTTTGAGCTTGAAGAAAATACAGCAAAAGCAAGGTGTTTGTTTAAATAGTAATAGTAGCCATCATTTAGAACCATGTATTAGTCGGCTGGTGACCAGTCATTTATTTACAAATTGACAGGCTAAATTCTGCTTTAAATTTACTGGCTGCTTTTTGCCTTCTTTGCAATGTGTCAATCAGGTTAAATCTGCTATTTAACCACTATCTGTGTTCTTAAGGCCATTTACTGATTTTTTAAAACAAGCTGTTTGATTTGTTAAGAATGGCCAGTGAAGACAGGAAACAAACCACTGCGTTCACATAGTGGACTAATCTTCCCGAGGCTGGCTGCCTGCGACTCTCGCTGTGTTGAAGCGGTCACAATGGTTTTCTGATAGCAGATGGTAAATGATTTTGTGATGTTGTTACTTAGACAACCCTGAGTTTGCAGCCCTGTGTTAGTGCTGCGGTGCGCCCTCCATCCCGCCTTTGCCAGTATTTTTCAACCGGTTCAGGTAGGAGCTTCGTGAACCCAACAGATTCCACTGTGGCATCCAAGGAGCAAAAGCTGTTTAAATGCAATTTGGGTATGTCTGTGAAAACATCACATTGTTACGGTATAGTACATACCTGTTTGGCAACAATAGCAGCCTGTCACCACTTGTAGTTTGACTGAATCATAATGACTGAATCATTCAGGCCATGCTTCAAACATTCCATTAATTGCTGCATACGGAACGGAAATTGAAAGCATGTTACTTTGGGAATAAAACTATTAGTAGTATATTAAGTTTTGTTATAAACTTAACTATGTCTAAAATACCATTTCATAAATTTGAGTTAATTGAATTAACACAAGTGTCTTTTGCTTTTGCTTTTTCTCTTCTGAAGCACAAGACTTAAAATTTAATAGGTCTGGTAATTACCATAAAACAGTATTTTTTTTATTATACTGTTACTATCATTGAAACAAGGGAGACAGCATGACTTAATAACGTTAATAAGTTAAATGTCATTTGTAATACACTGGAAATAAAATCTGTTGCATATGAAAATAACTTTTAATTAATCCAAGCAGATCTACAAGCCTTTATGGCAATATACAAAATACAGGATGCACAATGTGACAATATTTGGAGTATGAGCTTAAATACCTCCAGTGTCCTAAAGTTACTTCAAGTAACTAAGAAGACAAGTCAAGTTAAGGCAGAGACATCAACAAGCAGCTTATTCAAGTTTCTAAAAGCAAGGTGTCACCATGAAGCAAGTTTCACTTTTAATATTCAGATATATCACATTTTAACTGAAATAAAGAATCACCTGTGTAGTTGAAATCAAGGAATACTCACAGCTCAGGCTCTCTCGAAGTAGAAGGCACTGAAGCCAAGCTTCCCTAGACAGAGACTCTTGGTGTGTCAGCTGGGCTCCTCCATCCGGTCCGTGGGGCAGCTGGTTAGGGTTTTCTTCTTTTTTTTATATTTGCGTGTGGTAATTGACTTTTTTTTTCCTTTTCTTTCTTTATTCAACTTGACAACCCTCAGACTTCTTGTGAAAACACTGAAAAACTCCACCACTATGTAACAGCTTTATCTTTAATCTCAGTGAACACTTAACTTTAGGAAATTATTTATATCTTTTATATGAATACCTTCACCTTGGCAGTTGTGGGAAGTTTCCCCTTATGCCTCAAAACAAAGAAGCTTTATAAATTCTAAGCAGAAATATACATTTTCTGGTTTTTTCTAAGAAATGATACAGAACATGCTATATGGATTTTTTTTTTCCTTTAAAATATTAGTATTTATAAAGCACAACAGTGGGGATAAAGATACGTAAGTCAAAACATAAACTCCTTGTAGTTTACAAGAGTTGCTGGTTCTTGGGGGACAAATTTTTTTTCCTTTTCTTAATGTCCAGAGTTTGGACTTTATTTTGTAGATAACCAGGAAGCCATAAAGGGTGGTAAACAGACCCTTATTTCATCAGGTTTGTTGATGACCTACTGTGAAGAGGTAAAGCATAAGTTGACTTAGAGTTTCCTGTGTGGTTATGTGTTACGTGGATTTTTAAAACATAAGCATTGAATTTGTTTCTTTCTAAATTCATTTTAGAAATTTAGTTATTCACATACAAATGGCATTACCGTGTTGAATGATACTAACCTTAATAATGAATTATTTTATTCATTAATTTTTAAAGTTCTTTTTTATCTGTACATTATCTTAGTATATTTCCATGTATTCCTTTAAGACCTTGGATTTATTTTTTCTTTTTTTACGTATATCTTTATTGATTTCAGAGAGAGGAACGGAGAGGGAGAGAGAGAGAGAAACATCAATGATGAGAGAGTCATTGATCGGCTGCTTCCTGCACGCCCCCGACTGGGGATCAAGCCCGCAACCCGGGCATGTGCCCTGACCGGGAATCGAACCCCGATCGCCTGGATCCTAGATCAATGCTCAACTGCTGAGCCACGCCTGGCTGGGCTCTTGGATTTATTTTCTAAAATAATCTTATAATTTTAGGACTAGATGAGATTTGTGTTAGTATTCTTCCCATTTTATCACCATGATAAACTCTCCCAAGTAAATTGAAATATCTCCTATATTTTAAAGAAAATAATGGAGTGCTGCAGTTTTTGTTTTCGTCCTAATCTGATATTTAATCACTATCTATCCATTTATGTAATTGCTGGCCCTCCAGGTTAATGTCATTTTTTGTTGTTGCTGTCATTTGAAATGAAGAGAAGTTAGTTTTTATTTCCCCCATAATTGCTGCTCTGCAACTTTGTTTAAGCTTAATAATATTTAACTCACTGAGCTTCAGCTAACATTCTAATTATTTCTGGGTGCATATACTTTTCTGCATATCATATTCTCCAGAGCTTTTAGTTTGTTATAAATATGACACATGGGACAGAGTATTTTTAAATTACTAGAATAAAATTATTTTGTAGCTTTTAACTATACCCCACACCCCCAGCCAAGGAAGGTGATTACTGCATTGGCCTGGTTTGATTACTATATTAGTCTGGCAAGAATTTTGTATGTATATGCTGTTTTAAAAAACATAACATTAGCCCCGGCCAGTATGGCTCAGTTGGTTGAGCATTGTCCCGTGCACTGAGAGGTCACTGGTTCAATTCCCAGTCAGGGAAAATGCTCAGGTTGTGGGTTTGATTCCCCAGTAGGGGGCATGCAGGAGACAGCTGATCAATGTTTCTCTCTCCCTCTCTCTGTAAAAAAATCAATAAAAAGATATTTTAAAACACATAATGTTAAATTTTACCATCTTAATGATTTTTACATGTACAGTTCAGTAGTGTTAAGTATATTTATATTGTTGTGCAACAGATCTCTAGAACTTTTTCATCTTGCAAAACTAAAACTCTATATCCACTAAGTACTAATTCCCCCCCCCCCACACCTGTGGCAATCACCTTTCTACTTTCTTTGATTTTGATTACTTTAGATAATTTGAGTGGAATCGTATAACATTTGTCCTTGTATGGCTGGCTTATTTCATTTAGCATAGCATCACCAAGGTTTACCCATGTTGTGGCTTGCAACAGGATTTCTTTCTTTTAAGGTTGCATAATAATTACATTGTATCTTCACACTTTCTTTTTCCATTCATCTATCTATAGACATTTGGGTTGCTTCCACCTCTTGGCTATTATGAATAATGCTAAACATGGGTGTGCAAATATCTTTTCAAGGTCCTGACAGGATTTTTTAAATTACTAAATGTTTATCTATTAACATTCATAAAATCAAATATAAATTTTTTTTTCCATATTATGTTAGCCATTTTTCCACACCTAAGCAACCCCTTTTCAAAATACTAGTTCTGTTTTTTAATCTTCACTTCCCTGGCCCTACTATGACCAGGTTTGAATATCATTTTTTTCTAATTCTTCCTTTATTTGAGCTTTTTCCTGTTCATTCTGAACTTTCTTCTTTCTGCCTCTATGTTCTTAGCTCATTCCTATATATCCTCTTCCCCTCACCCTTCCTCTTCCTCCTTTGTTGGTATCTTGGCTTTTTATTTATATAAAGATAAAAGTAAAAAAGAAGAAATAAATGGATATGCTTATTTGGTGCCATCTCTTAACTGATATCACTGTCCTCTCTTTATCTAAACCCCCACCCTGGTTAAATTCAGCTCACCACCACCCCCAGGCCTGAACCTTGCCAGGCAGAATGAGGACTGCTGGGTTCAGACACACAGTCATGCTAATTGGTCCCACTTAAAGTTCATGACCACAAACCTCAAGTGGGTCCATGTGCTGCCAACAGTCTTGCTGTATTTCCTTAGTCTAGTGATTCTCAAAGTATAGTTCCCAGACCGGTAGCATCAGCGTCACACAGGAACTTGTTAAAAATGCACATTCTTCACTTCATCCCAGACCTTATGAAGCAGAAACTCTGGGGGCGGAGGCCAGTAAATCTGTGTGATTCTCATGCTATGGTTTCAGAGCAACCACCTTGGTCAATTCATGCTCCTATTCCTTGAAAATACTTTTTCACACCTTCACTCTTCTCAAATTGCCAACAAACCCCTCCCCTTTCCTACTCCCACTTGATGACCACTTCTTATTTCAAAGTAAATGGAAAATAGAAGTGCTCAGAAGAGAACTTCCTCATCTTCCTACGTCGACATCTGTCTGCCTCTACAGGTGCCCTGTACCCTGCCCGCTTCGCTGACACCAGGGCCAACTCCCACCCCACTTGTGCATTATGTCCCTTCCCCCGCCTCTCCTGGGAATGTATTTCCTCTCTAGGGATCTTTCCCATCAGCACACAAATGTCTCTCTCTAAAAAACAAAACACACCCCAAAAATTTTCATTTAAAAAGGAAAATAAATAAACAAAACAAACACAAACCTCTCTGAACATCTCTAGGTACTGCTGTGTACTCATCTATTGGATATATTGTTATGTGAAATTTTTGAATATATGTATTTCCCTTTTTTCAAAAAAACAGTGGAAGGATAAACCGAAAACTAATACCAATAGTTACCAACGGGAAGGGAGAGTTTGGGAATAAAAGCTAGACCTCTCTGAATGGTATTTATTGCAGTTTTCACGTGGGAACTATGTACATGTTTTACATAATTAAAATACCAAATTAGATCAAAATCTAATTGAAACAAATTGACCTCACTATGTAACAAATTGAAAGCATAACCACAGAATTTTTTAAGTGACTTTAAAATAAGATGGGGTTGTTTTTTCATAATTTTAGACTTACAGAAAAATTCAAAGGATAATACAGAGAACTGCAGACACCTTTCACTCAGATTTCCCATATGGTAACATTTTCCTACATTTGTTGTATCCCTGTCATCTTTCTCTTTACCTATTCATATGTTTACTAAAAATAAGAAATTCTCTAAATAGCTACAGTAAAATGATTAAAGTCAGGGAATTTATATTGAAAGAATACTATTATATAATCTGTAGATCTTTTTCCAATTTCTTGGCTAGAGGCAGGCCAAGTGTCTCCTTTCCCTCTTTTGGTGTCTCACCTCCCATTCCCACAGAGAGGTAGGACAGGTCCAAAGAAGAGGCATGCCCAGGGAGGGCTGTGCATTCCCTAGGAGCAAGGCTCAGTTGAAGTCATTTAATCTGACTCTTCTTACTTAGGGGTGAAATGAATAAAAACAGAAAGAGGGTGGCAGGAGGGTGGACAAAGAAAGGCCCATCAGTGTCCCCTAAGGGCCAAGATACAGTGTAGGTAAAGTCAGAGGTTTCAAGAAGCATTTTAGCACAAGGTGTAAAATAATTTTCCTTAAACAACCGTAGACTGTCTCTCGAAGGAAGAGAATGTTGCATGCAAAAGGCAAAAACATACCGCCCAGCCGGGCATGGCTCAGCGGTTGACTGTCGACCTAGGATCCAGGCGATCGGGGTTCGATTCCTGGTCGGTGCACATGCCCGGGTTGTGGGCTGCGGACGGTCAATGACTCATCATTGTTGTTTCTGTCTCTGTCTCTCTCCCTCTCCCTTCCTCTCTCTGAAATCAATAAAGTTTTTTTTTTAATTATAAAAGAAAAATATATCTTCCTTGAGCATCCATGCTTCCTGAGTAATTCTCTTTTTTTTAATTTAAGTTTTAATTATAGATTACATACAATATTATATTAGTTTCTGGTGTACAACAGTGATTAGAATCCTGAGTAATTCTTAGCACCATACCCTAATCTTGGAAGCAAATAATTCCTGAAAAATATTAGATAGAACAGATAAGTCTTTGGAGAAATCAGCCAGAAGTGAGAATTGGACAAATAATTTAAGCATCTAAAATAATTCCAGAAGTTTTTAATGTATTACTCTATTATCATGTTACTCAGTTTTGTGTAAATTGGATTGTTCATCTTAAATTAATCCTTATCTTTGGTTTGTTTTTTTGTTTGTCTGTTTTCCTTTTCAGCCCCACTGTGTTCTCCTCGCCTCAAAGGAAAACTCGGCACCTGTTAAACTCGGGGGCTTTGGAGTAGCTATTCAATTAGGGGAGTCTGGACTTGTAGCTGGAGGTAAGAACACTTTTTAAAAATACTCTTCAAAAGCTGGTCACTTTTATTTTTTATTTTTAAACACTATTAAATTTCTTGGGGTGACAGTGGTTAATATGAACATACAGGTTTCAGGTGTGGGTTTCTACGTTGCAAGATCTGTATATGGCTCTGTGTGCCCACC